TTGAACCAATTTCTCTCAATATTAGCTAAAATGTGAAAAGAATGAAATAAACAATTTTTAGCATTGGTTATTAGGCACATTTAAATTCAGATAATAATTTATAAAATATTATCACTAAATAGATGAGTCTGAGAATTCATTAAAATGTTAATATTAATTATTCATTGTAATTTTTAATTTATAATATATTTTTAAACAGTTGACACATATCATGTTTGGAGCCAGAAAATCATCTTTCACATAAACTCATCTAGTTCAAAAACTATTAGATGCAGCTTTGTTTCAAATTTTATTTTAAAGATTAAGGATTGTATTACATATTTATATTAAATTTGTTTGGAAATACTATTACATATATGTTTTTTTGTTGTAACTACTTAGTTTTGTTTGATAATAAAACCTTCCGGCACATCTTACAATGAAATTAATACCCCGTGTTAATCTTTTTATCGAGATTAAAATATTTTGCCAATTCAGGAAAAGGAAATTCCATATTATCATCATTTTCCAGGGAATTACTTTGTTGATATGATCTGTACCAAAATTATTTTAAATGTCAATCTCTATCGTCTACTTTTAAATTATTTTGAAAACAAAATTTATAATGTGTATTTTTAAATGTAAATTACAAAATTAAATCAAATGAAAAGATTATGATTTTATAATTAATTATTGATATATTTTAATAATTTTTATGTGTATTTATTATATAAAATTGAAAGAGTCTAAATTAGTAGCGAGCTACCACGATCACTATTTTTTTCTTAAATATGTGCACTACTGCCGCTAATAAAAAAATCGCTACTTTAATAACCCTGGATCCCGCCCAAAATTATTTGACTCTTTGGATGTTAATGGATCTATTATTATTATCAAAAAAATTTTGCAGTGATTGACCCGATATTGAAAATAATTTGTTCGTTATATAGGATTATAAATTTGTCAAAAATTTATAAATAATATATGTCGTAAATTCTAAAGTGATAACATTCAAACAAAAGATATATTTCACAACTTTTTTTTAATAAAATTACTTCACTATTAAATTTTAAAATTTATTTATATAAAAAATTTTTTTAAAAAAATTAAGCAATCATAAAAACAACCTATCCCATATTAATATTACAAAAAAAAATAAAAAGAATTACATAAAAAATAACCATTATACCACACATATGAAAACGTTAATATTAAATGTCCCAACTAGGTTGCATTCAGAGTTGGGCAGTACCGCGAATACTTGTATCTAAGATACAAGATCCTTTTGTATCTTGTACTCAGCATCTTATTGACATTTTTAATAAGATACTAGTATCTGTATCTAAGATCCTTTATTTTGAAAAGAATCTTGTATCTTTTTCATTTTCTTTAAAAAGATACAGATACAGATTCTTTTTAATATTCTTGTTTAAAACATTTACATATCACACAATGTAACTTTATTTTCTTCGTGAAATCTTGTATTATTTTCTTTATTTTTTCCCGCTATATTTTAAATATATTGATAACCAAAATTAGTAGGAAATGTTATAGGTCACAAAGATAGATTGATTAAAAATAACAACACCAAAACTAAATAAGAGAAGGATATATTTTATATTTTATATGTAATATTTTTTAATTTGTAAAATGTTTAACAATCATAGTAGTGAAGATGAAATTATGGAGATGGGTTCTCCTGAATCAAATCCGAATCTTAAAATTCTAGATGGAAAATTTTATAAAGTAATTCATGTGAAAAAGAACAAGGTACAAGCTGAATGTCAATATTGCACAAGTAAAAAAGTTATTAAAGGTTCAACAAACTCCTTTACAAACTTTGTTAAACATATTAAAGTATATTATATTTTTATTTTATAATTATCAACATAATAATACCTATACCTAAGTCCCTCTTAGATAATTGTTATTAAAAATTTTTATAGAAGATGGTTGATTACAAATTAAAATCATTTTGGATATATATTTTTTAGGAGTGTGTCGATATAACTTTTTGGAGGCCGATCCGATATTCCCGATATTAAATTGATATCCGCCGATTACCGATCCGATATCATATCTAATTTTGTATTCTCTAAAGATACCAATGCTTTTAATTTTTAATATACTTTATTAGTATAACATCTATAATTTAACTATACCATAACTTATGTCACTCAAATATATTATAATGATGAGTTATAGTTTATATTCAATTCAATTGCAATTCAAAAAGTATATAAAATATTTTTATTATTAAATCACTTTTATATAATAATAACATTAATCTATATACATAATAAGTAATAAACAATTATATTATGAAATTTGAAATAAATATTTAACATTAATATAACGAAGATTTCTTTTTAAAAATACCAATATTTCCAATTTATCAGAGGTCAGCTTGCGGCGATAATAACTGTTAATATCACCAGCTTCACTAAAAACAGATTCTGAAGAGAATCTCGCACACCTTTATAAATAGAATGCGCAAAAAAATAACAATATGGCAGAATATTTATTAATTAATTATTAAACATAATTGTTTGTTTTTTTTCTCTTTTAGCTTTCACCTTTTCTGGTGGTAAGCTCCTTCAACATCTCTCCCCACTTTATGTTATTCATACAATCTCTTTTATCTATTTTATACTTCTTTATATTGGCTCTAACTTTATGGCCCCATTGAAGTTTTGGCCTTCCTCTTTTACGTTTGCCCATCACTTCCAAACTTTCAACTTTATTTCCTATGTAGTTCATAGGCCTTCTCATTGTGTGCCCATACCACCTAAGTCTGTTTACCATTAACTTAGTCTTAATGGGCACTACCTTTAAATAATATTCTTTAATGCATTTTAAATTGATTAAATTTTGTAAATAAATACTGTAATGTAATTTTACTTATATTATAAATAAATAAAAGTAACTAATAAAGTTAAATTCTACCTTATTATAATAATTTTATTAAGCGCCTTTTAAAATTATCTAATATTTTCATAAATCAATTGTAGCTTAAATATTTTCTCTAATAAGAACTTGCTAAAATAATTATATATAAAATATATTAGGGATGCGCCGATTTTTTATCGGATCGGATCGGATCGGGCCGGTTTCACCCATTTTAAAATATCGGTTATCCGCCAATATTATAAAATTTGATCCGATATAAAATGGCTTCTTTAACAAAAATAAAATGTTATAAAATTTTAAAAAAAATTATATATAAAATCATTTATTTTTATAAATAAAATCGAAATCCATTTTTATGTATATTTTTTTAATAATAATTATGTATTTAATATTTATAATATAAAGTTGTACATTATTACGATATTTTTTATATATTATTAATGATTTTGCAAGAAATTTATAAAAAAAATTTGAAAAGATATTTACATGATATTTATATATATGATATTACAAACGCAAGAATTAATAAGTCATATTAGAAAATAAACTAATTTAAATAATACATAAAAATCACAAATAAGTAATGATAAATATTATTAAAGATAATGAATAAAATAAAACTAGTATATATTTTTTAGAGATGCCATTTAGCCATATACTCCGAATATAAGCTATATTTAAAACAACACAGAAAATAACCTGCAATTATAATAAATCATTTGATTTTATTATTTTTCTTATTTCTTATTTGCAAATTTTCAACTCCCATTAAATATACTACTCTCCCTTCCCTGTTTAAGCTATTAATAGGTAAAAACTAATATTAAAATCCCTGGTTATTATAATTAATTTATTAATAAATATTTTATTAATTATTGCAAATAATTCTTATATGTGTTTGCTATGTTCTTCACAAATAAATAATAAAAACTGTATTTTATAAACTCATCTAATTTAATTGGTATTTATAATTTAAAAGGATCTTGTATTTAAAATACTCTAATTTAGTAAAAGATACAAGTATCTTTTATCTTGTATCTTTTTGATATTTTGAAAAAGATACTAGTATCTGTATCTAAGATTCATTTTTTTATAAAGAATCTGTATCTGTATCTAGATTCTTTTTCTGGAGGACCTGCCCAACTCTGGTTGCATTTTGCTTGAAAGCATATCTGGAGAAAAATAACGTTTTGATTGAAACACTATCTCAAACTGTTAATCAGATCTAATAAGAGAACTATATTAGCTTTTCTTTCAAAATCTAAAAAACAGTTTAATTTCTGTATGCACAAAAAGGCCTAGCGTGAATTGGCATTACTTTTTAGAAGTTAAATTATAATAAATTTAATCGTGAATGATAATGGTAGCTCAGAAATCCTTTACTTAAAGGAAAATATGATTTTAAAAAAAACCTTACCAATTCCAGTTTGTGATCTATAAGTAATTATATATAAGTATGTTCATTTATTTAAATATTTTATATTTCATAAATAATCCATGTGTTAGGTCCTCTTCTAGACCCAATATTTAAAATTTGAAAACGTGTCAATGTTTGTTTATAATAGACGATAATATACAGCGTCGGGAGTTATTATAAAATATCATAAATATATAGATTGAATGATATGGGGGAAGTAAATTTAGTGAATGAGAGTCAAGATAAATATTAAATTAAAAATATTTGACAAAATTAGCAACAAAAGATTCAACAACAGATACAAATTATGATTCCACTTTAAGTAATTTATAACAATTGCCATAATTTTTCCATAAAAAGCCATTCACAATATGTGGATGTCCTCAATTTTTTGAAAGAGAAGCGAATCAAACTTCCTAATCTTTTCACGTTATCTAAAAAAAATTTGTGCTCCAGAAACTAGCGAACTTTGTGAAAGAGTTTTCTCTACCGCTGGGTTGACTTAAATTCAAGAAGAACATTGTTATGTCCAAAATATTGAATTATTTATATACACGATTATTATAAAATAACAAAATTGACTTTAAATTTATAATTTGTCTTTAATAAAGATTTTTAAAAAAATATACCGACATATTATGTCATTTTGATTGAAACATGTGTTGTGTACCTCTTAAGGTTGGGTACTAAAATTTGAAGTTAGATATGATTTCACTACCAAAACATACTTCTGATTTTTCTAAAACTAAATTCTGGGATAAATTTTTTGAAAATTTAGGAGATAAAAATTTTGAATGGTAAGAATAAAAACTAATTGTAGTCTTATACATTTTTAGGTATGCAGATTATAAGGATTTTTCTAATATTCTATTTGATTGCATTGTTAAAACAGACAAAATTTTAATAATCGGATGCGGGAACTCTAATTTAAGCAATTCTCTTTATAAAGAAGGATATGTTAATATTATTAATATTGATTCAAGTAAAAAGGTGATTAAATCTTGCTCAGAAAAAAACAAAAAACTAGGATATGATATGGATTTTATTAATATGGATGTGTTAAATGTAATTAAATAATCAAATACTTTTTACAAAGTATATTTAACATATTTTAGATGAAATTTGCTGAAAATGATTTTAATGTTGTTTTTGATAAAGGAACTCTTGATGCTTTAGCAAATAATGCATCATCGAAAACCTATAAAACCTTGTCAAAAATGTGGAGTGAAATTTGTAGAGTTTTATTCAAAGTTCCTCTTGATACTTATGGCAAGCAATTTAAAATTGAAGAGCAATCTCTAAATAAATTTGGACGATATATTTGTGTTTCTTTGGCACAGGGTCATATATTAGATATGATTCGATCTTATTTCTTTAATATTAAACCTGACAAAAATAAATATATTCATATTAGTATACTTAAAGTGTTTTGCATCGAAAAAAAGGATGAACTCTTTCCTATTTTTATTTTCTCATTTTTTATGAAACAACTTTCAGAAACTGATAATAAAACCACATTTGAAGCCTTTGATAAATATGAAAATACTAAAATTGATAATACAAAAGAAATAATTCAATTTGAAACTTATGAACAAATTCTGAAATGGATCAAATATAAACAATCTATCTATAGTATGATGAAAAAGGATCACTTTGAAAAGTATTCATTATTTACTATTAATTTTTAATATAATAATATATATATAATAAATTTTGATTATTATTTTAACACAATAATATTAAAAGATTATCCATAAACCACAATAACGATATCAAATTTGATCTGTATACTGATGAAAAGGATGCATTTCCTCGTTACAGATTTTTCTTGGTAAAATGTCCCACAGAAAATGTAATTGATGATGATAATCATAAATTTGCTGCATTTATAGTTCCTCTTGGACGGTATATTTATGATAAAATTAAATATAATAGCTCATTAATGTAGCCTAAAAAATTTCATTTTTTGGTATTGGCCACTTTTATTGCTTATAATTGAAAGTATTGATCAATTTAAAAAATCGTTTACAGCTTGCAAAAGAAATGATTTGATTAAAAAAAAGTCTTGTTTGGAAATGAACAAAGGAATAGAATAAACCAAATATATTTATCAATATAATAAAAATAAATAAAAACATAAAGAAAAATGTATTATATTAATATAAATTTTTTTTAGCCATATATTTATTTTGTTTAAGAATTTTGATGATTAAATATTAGCAATTTTTATCATAAAATAATATTTTATACTGCGCCTTATATCAGATCGGACTATTTAACGATATCGGCCAATACCGATAATTCTAAAAATTACGAATAATCGGCGCAATCCGATCCGTTAAAAAATCGGTTACTTACATAGTTTATAATTCCTTATTTATTTTCTGGTTTTCATATCCTATAAATAATTAGTTTCGGTGTGGCAAAGGCCATTACTTATTTATTTATTTTGGAAATCATTTTGGACAATCATATATTAATACACTATTCCTAACCAAAAGTAAATCAACTTTCGGCCTTGGGGGAGAGGAGGGGGTAAGATAAATTTTATTAATCTTTATTTTTAATGAATGAATGAATGATATTGTGTTTTTTTTTAAATCAAGGGAAGGTGAATGGCTTTTCAATACGGTTAAAGGTAGACTGGCACTGGCTAAATCATCCGGGTTTAAAAGGCTCATTGTAATACATCTCAATAGAAATCACGATTACAAGGAATTCGAGGCCATAAAGTCAGAACTGTCACCCGCCATCAACGATTACAGGCCTGACGATCTCGGGCCCAATGAAGTGGTACACTATATTTTTCGCTTAAAAACATACTTTAAATGTTTATAATATATTGTAGTTGTTAATAAATCAAAACAAAAATATCTCGGACAAAAAAATATTTCTAGGAAAAAGACTAAATTCCTTTATTTAATATTATATTTTTGAGGGATTTTGTAAGTCATTTTTGACTTCTAATCAGGCCCTTAGCTAGAAATTTTTAGAAATATCGATTACGCTCAACATGATGGATCACCAAAATTGTTGATATTTCTGAACTCATCTTTATATTACGATTTTTATCAAAGTCATATTAGATTTAAATGGCCTTTAGAGACAGGGCCATCCAAACGGGGGAGTGGCTAACGGGGTAGCCCTCCCCCAGCCCTTAGAAATTAGACAATTTTAGGGGCCGCCAAATTTTATAATTTTGCTCAATTATTTTTAGCCTCTTGAAAAATAAGAATTTTTTGTAAATACTACAAGATATTATTCTTGTAAAATATCCAAGTATATTTCCAACAAAAAGAGTTTAGCATGCTTAGCCATATGTATTATAACGAAAAATTTGATTTATATTTTAGTAAAAAAAAACTTCAATTATTTTTTAGTTAAGAAATTTGATTTTTTAAATGAAATTTTCTTTTTTTTATTCATAAATAATCGTTAAAAACAATTTAATTAAATTTTCTATTGGCAAAAAAACAAGATAATCGGTAAGTAAAAAATATAATTAAATTTATTTTTTTTTTTAAAAAAAAAAATTTCTTTAACTGACTATTTGAATAAATATTTGATTTTCTCGTTAAGGCATTAAGACCTTATTTTTGTAGCTGTAATAGCTATGAGGCACTTTTTAGATATTCTGTTTAGTCTATTTTAAAATTAAAAAATTTGCACTATAGTCTTCGTTTAATACAATATACTTTTCAGGTGGTTACACTTTAAATTACTTTAATCTTGATTAGTTATTATTTTAGTTAAGATTTATATTCGACCATTAAGTATTTAATTGATAGTTTCAGACCCTTTTATCTTAAATGCTGCACAGAAACCATTTCATTGGCCAAAGAATTAAAACAATTTTCATTTTTGGTAACTCTTGTCATCTAGTTTTGATATATTAACCCAAGTGAATTTAGTAAGTAAGGTCATGCAAAGTAACAATATTGAATTACCATTACGCTTATAGAAAGTGAGCAAGATTTATTTAGATCAATTTAAGGTAAACGGTTTTCAGAATTCTCTTGACTCAGTGAAAGATCTTGCGCAGAAATTGGAATTAAGATAATAAGAACAGGATTTCTTCTTCGTAGAGTGAAAGTCCAAGAATAATTTTCTTACGAAGGCGATGATACGCCTATACATGACTCAAAAAATATGAGATTGAATTTTTCAAAATCGGATCGGGTTTATAAAAAAGATCGGCACTATCCAATATTTTTGAAGCCGCTAAATATAGGTGCCCATCCGATATTAAATATCGGCACAATCCTATTGATAATTTTGAAGTAAATTTATATTCAGATACTTTTTTAAATTTTCTGGATAAAATCATAACTCATTTTTTTATAAATAAATATTAAAATCTATACTTATGCTATGCCTTTTATTAATAAAAGATTCCATTTCTCTCGCTCGGTTCCGATTCGTTAGAACGCAAAGTGATCGAAAAGGGGTTGACATCCCACAATAATTGTCAATATTCTGTCGAGGACATTAAGCTATCCGACACCTGGTACAGGAGACTTTATTTTCTTAACTCGCCTTCCTTGATACAATCCGAAATACAACTCGACGATAACACGATGGAGCCAAACGTATACCTTCCGCTAACCTTCGAGAATCATAAGGCTATGATTACGGCGTTAGCTTTGGATTATCACTTCGATATCTACGATGATCATGATTCCAATAAACCTGAAAAAAGCGAGGGGTTGTATAGGGTGTTGATAATCGGTTTGGGTAATTAAGAAATAATTAATATTTAAATATAATAATTCATTATGAATATATAATTGTTTAGTGGAGTTAAGAGATTCTGCTAAACCGGGTTTTAGAAATTTTAAGATGGATTCCGATTTCTATCAATTTAAAAAAAGGGTTCTTCTGGTTTCCGGTTTATATATTTGTTCAGGTTCCAAGTTAATATATTAGATATTATTATAATTCGTGCCCTATCTAAATTTTATATATTTAGGAGGAGGCATTTTACCGAATTTCATGTTCCACTGCTTACCCGATATGAATATCCAGATTTGTGAAGTGGATCTAAAGGTATCGGAAGTAGCCCATCGTTTGTTTGGCTTTAACGAAATTTATGGTAATAATGCTGTCGTTTATATTTTATCTTATTTAATGATGATAAACGAGTTTACTTTTTTTTATTTATAAACTAATTGGCATGATCTTCTGCCCGAGGACTAATCAATTAAGTCAGAATTTGGAATATTAAGATAATGCTCTGGAAGCCATGAAAAATGCTAATTGCATATCAGAGTTACGGCCAAACAAAGATCTAAATATTAATTATAACCTTATTCATTATTCGTTTATATACATTATCCAAATTCATAATGACACAGATAATATTGTATTTAATAGTGTTATTAAGCTTTACTTTTGAACAGTAACTAAAATTTTCACTAATTAAGCTCTTAAAAGGGTAACGAATTACCGTTACTATTTCACATAGGCGTAGCCAGGATTTTCCTAAGGGGGGTACTTAGTCTATATATTGTCATATTACAAGATAGGAGGTTAATTTTAATAAAAAAAAATAAGCTTGGAACAAATATGCAATATATTTTTATTAGTTTATATGAAATATATTTTTATTAGTTTATATAAAATATAATAAATTACTTATATATACATTAATATAAAAGCATGGTAATAATTTATTCCAAATAAATAAGAAATTTATTTATAAAAAGTAAGTAGACATATAGTTGATATTCCTCTATTATGTAGAATTGGTTACAAAATACTAGGTAAAATTCCATTTTTACAGACATATTTGACAGTTAGAGAATATATTACAGTTTATATTTTAACAAATTTTACTAATCAAAGCTCTTGATAATAAATATAGCAACAATTTGCATTCGATTATTAACGCCATCTATTTAATTTAAATAAAAAAAGATATTTTCTGATGTTCTTATCAATATTTTATAGTTTTCTGTAAAATATATAATTCTCTATATTGGTAAATTGTCATATGATAATTGATAAAATTAGATATACTGTAAATCTACGACATATAATATTCCACTGTTTGTATTGTGCTTTAACTTTTTATTTAATTTATGTTTTAATTTTATCAATAGTTTTGTAAAAATATTTTACTTTTAAGATAAATAAATTAAAATTACTCACTTTATAAAAAGTTATATTTGATATATTATGTTATTTAGTAATTTTATGGATCTATTATTATAATTATAATATATTTCATTTTTGTCTAAAGAATTATCTTTGGCTTATATTCCATTTCTTTAAAAACACTTTTGGTTCACTTTTTATATATAAATGCTTTTTTCCAAAAATGTATAAATTATGATGAATAGTTTTAGTTTAAAAAAATATCAACTTTAACATTCTTTCTTTCAAATTATTGTATAAGATATATGCATACATTTTAGGGGGTCAGGGAGTGGGGGGAGAACTAAGGGGAATATTTTTTTATTAGCTTAAAATGATATTCACAAAAAAGTGATAAATTTCTGAAGGAGGGGGGAATTTCCCCTTGCCCCCTATGGCTACGCCTATGCTATTTCAAAAATAACTGGTTACATACATTGCGTGCATTATAAAAAATCTTTATAACCTATTATTTTTATTAAAAAATTATTATTATATAAATAAAATTACAAGTTATTCCAAGCAATTTAAATAAAAAAAAATAATTAAAACACAAAAATAATTCCATTTAAAAAAATTATATAACATAAATATTTGCATAAAAAAAATATAATATAATATCTGAAAAAATGTATAAATAAAATAACACAAATATAATATTTATTTTTCATAAAAATTTAAGCTGAATAATTTTTTTTACTTGCTTTTCTTCAAAAATAAGTTTCCCCAGCTATACGAAAAAATAAAAATTTTACTAGGAGCCCTTTATGTAAGTGCGATATTATTTTTAATAAACACCCTTTTACATATGGGAAATTCAAACAATGATTATAAATGAGATATTATATTATTTAACATATTTTGAAAAGTAATTAGCTACTTTTCAAGTTACATTCTAAAAACTTAGTTATTTTTACGCCTAAATGTAACTAGTTACTTTAACAAACACTAGTGTTTACACTAATCATATTACACGTATACCATTCCTGTGCTTCAAAAATATTAGGTCACCCTTGACTTTGTCTTTAAATTTTTTCAATTAATTTCTTAAATAAATAGAATAATAAGAATGGACGGATAATTTAGGCGTTGATGATATATTTTATTATATCAGTAAAAAATCAAAAAGGTCGCTTGAAGGTTATAAAAAGAGCTAATGATTTCAGTTATAAGATTGGCGATTCATTAATTAAAAACGTCCATACATAGGAGTCAGCTATAGCACCATTTTGTGGTTTGCTATTGACTAATGGATCTATTTATCGTCATATGAATGCACATTGATGTTATTTAATTGACACGCAAACCACAAAATGGCACTACAACTGACTCCCATTTAGGGACACTTTTAAATGCATTTGACGAGTTAATCGCCAATCTAGTAATATTTAATCTGGTTCTAAGGGTTCCAGATGGTATTGATTTTAAACTCTTAAAATTTTAAAATAGAAGCGTTTTACTTAGGTTTTTTGACCCCTAGACTATTTTTTTAGAGGCTCTCCAAATTTTTATTTCTTATGCATTTTAAAAGGGAATTGTATGTTTTTTTTAAAAAAAATTTATAAAATTTATGCCTAAATATTACCTATATCAGTTCATTTTATTACAAATTATTTTAATAATTTTATTGTGCATAATTATTTACTTGATTTATTTTTTAAGCTGTTTATTCACGAGTATTTTAAAAATGACAAACTTAATTTCGTTATCTTATATATTTTTTTTAAGCCTAGATAAATAGGAGGAGGGGGGGGGCGTTTAAAATGGTCACCCAATTAATTTTCGCTTCGGGTCGTTAAGAGTCTTATCGCGGCTCTGCCTATTCTAAGATTTTACCCGGTTTTATCGGTTCTGATTCCTGCGCTAAACTCTGGGTTTAATATGGATCTTTTAAAATTATTTAATTGTAACACATTTGTTTTTTTTCTTCATGATAATTTAGATAATAGCGATAAAAATAGTAAAATGGAAGTACACGTTTGTGATGGATTAGATTATTTGAAGAATTTAGGAAATACGGATTCCGCTGAGAAATTTAACGCGATAATACTAGACGTGAATTCTATGGATCCCATTGAGGGCCTCTTCTCTCCTCCTTTGTCCTTCATAGAACCAAAAAATTTGGCACTGATTAAAGATGGTTTGAAGAAAAATGGTCAGTAATATTATTAAATTTATATTTTAAAAGATTAAATATCTTATATTTTTTTTTAACTATGAATTTTCACCTGAGAAGGATTTTATTTTTTGAAAATTTATATATTTAATCTATGTTAGGGCCAAAATATCTTGTGTTATAAACTTCTCAAACCAATAATACAAATTAAATATAATACAAATTTCAGAATATTATGAATTAAGGAATATTCAGTTTATTTAAATAAATTGTTCGTAAATGATTTCTTCTTCTTCTCCGTTTATTGGCTATTTCCAGGTTTACCCAGCTAAGCCAGTTTCCCTTCTAATTTTCCCTCTCCATTTTTATCGATCCTGAACATCACTATTTGAAAGATGTATTTTTCTCATATTCCCCGCTATCACCTTTATCCGCGTAATCTTGGGCCTTCCTCGAGGTCTTTTAACCACAAAATAAATCTAATTTGAATAATTATTTTTTGAAAATTTTAAGTTGTAAAACCCTTGTTTTTGATTGGATCCAGTTCGGGTTCCTGGAAATTTTACTGGTTCTGTTTCCGGTTACAAACCCTGATCCAATCTTCTTATTAAAAATAAAATTAGGTATTTTAATATCAACTCTACTTACACGAGACGCCGACGAAAAGCTCAAAGTCGAAAACGCCTTCAAAACAATATTTTTTTCGTCCGATCCGAAACACTCATTACGCGCTCGAGAAATTGATTTAGGCGAGGAGGAACTCGCAAAAATTATATTGGTTCGACCTGAAATCAAGGACGGTTTGTCTAAGGATGCCATGACCAAAGCTTATGACCACATCGTTAACGAGATTAAAAATGCAATAATAGATGGGAAAAATGCGTCATTAAAATTATTGTCCAATATTGGAACTAGTCAGCAGTTATTGATGGATCCATTAGATTATCTGATACCTTTTGAAACTTATGCCGAATCGAGATCCATATTTTAAAACATTATAAGAAAAGGAAGGATTTGTTAATAATTAGCAATATTCATATGTAATTTATAACGCGCCTCAATGTCGAATGATTATATAAAATTAATTTGGAGTAAAATTACGCTAACGGTGTTGTTGTTTCGATTTAAAGATAATGGCCTATAATTAAGAAGGTGTTGTTAAAATGCCCGATTCGGGTCTGTTTAATATTTTAGCCGAAATAATATTATGTAAGTCTGGAGATTTTTTCATAGATGGCCGAAAGGATTGAAAACCTCTATTTGACAAATCTCCAGGTTTAGATAATATTATCTTGGCTATAATCTTAATCGGGTCATTTTTAAAAATTGTTTAGTAATGAGAGGAGCTGGACATTGCCTTAATGCTTATAGTCAATGTTGAAAAGTAACTTCTATATTCGAGGTAGCTCCTCCTAAGAAATAGTAGATATTAGTATAATAAAATATGTTACAGGTCAACGTACATAATCTAAAAATAGTCTGAACACCGAAAAAAATTAAATTTTTTACACTTCTAAATAATTTGTCGAAGAGTAAAAATCATCTATTGAACGCGTTTTTTAGATTTAAAGATCCTATATAAATTTCAGATAATTTGGTCATGAATTTATGAATTATTTGAATCTTTATACTAAAATTACGCATATTGCACTCTTAAGTTTATAAAAAAAAATTAAAAAACGCCATCGTCCCAGAGAAGAAAAAAAGATTAATCATTTTTAAATACGAAATAGCCAAAAATAAACTTTCTTTAAAAAAAATATTCAATTTCCACATTTTATATGATATTTCAATTGAATATGAACAAGAAAAAGGGAGTTTATTAAACTGTTGAAAATTAAATAAATAGCGTTTTTTTATTTTCAGACTTGCGATCCAGCTAGATATCATAATTATACTTTAAAAAAAATGTAATTTGCTACAACTACGACGATTGCTACTTTAATATACTTAAAAAGAATTTTTTTGACTCACTTTTAAGAGAAAATATCAGTGATATGAATCTTTAGACAAAAAAAACAGGGGTCCGGGGAATAAAATTTTTTGACAAAGATCAGGGTTTTGTGAAGCATAAATATTAACTTAAATAATTTACAAGTAAAAAATTGACTTTTAATTTATATTTTAAATGGGTCATTTAATCGTATATTCTGAATATCATTTATAATAAATTATTATCACCTAATAACATAGGCGTATTAAGGATTTTGTTAGGGTGGGGGGGGGGCACTATTAGGTAGGTTTTCCTCATAAATTTTATTTAGGATTTTTAGGTCTACTTATTGTAGGGTCTTTGGCTATATTAGATTTTTATAATAATAATTTTGACTTTTCACTTATAAAATTCTCTTTTCTAAAAATTTTGAATTATAAGTCGTTATTTAAAAATTTATTAACTTTTATTAATTTTTCTTTCAAATTTTTTCTTGTAGTGATATATTGTATACATTTTTTTTATCAAATTAAGATTCAAATTCTTAATTAAGAGTTGAAATTTCTAATAATTTATATTATATAAAATAAATTTTGAGGTGTGCTGGTGGGGAAATTTTTTACTAGCTTAAAATAATATTCCCTCTCCCATTTGGTTACTCGCCTGCTATAAAATTTGCAATAATTCGCTTTCTAAAATTGATATAAAACAAGAGGATCAATCTATTTCTATTATATAGCATATTAATAAATTATCATTTATAATAAGAAATCAATGAAAATAATGCGATAATTTGTTATTTTTTTCTGAATATTTTACATGTAAATTGCAATTTTATATTTTTAAAAACATTTAGCATCAAGATAAATATAAATTTATCTTATAGGAGTACTTTATAAACCATCCGATTCAACTAGCCACAATGATAATTCTTCAAGCATCGGGTTTGGGGCTTGTGGCTTGAAAATATTTTAATTATTTAATTGCTTTACAAAGTGGCCCTGATGCTCTTTTATGAATGAAAAATGCCAAATTCTGAAATTAGCATTATATATATCCTATTTGTTCCGACATTTGCTGGAAAATGTAATTAAAGATTGAGAATACCTATGAATGATCCTTAAAATCGTTAGAAGGATGTAATTCATAGTATAATACATATTTTTTTTAAAACGTTTTATTATATGCAATGTGGCAAGACTAACAGTATCATTCTAATACAGTAAAAGAAAACAAACATAAAATTCTAATAATTGAGTTTACTTTGACTTGGGGCTGGCAGGGCGTAGCCTTCGGAAAATATAGAAATTGTGGGTCTATATTCAATGATGATGATAATTGACAATACCAATAATTATAGCAAAGTGCTATTTTTTTTATGATGGAGCTGTCAGATGCATTAAAGAGAATAAGTCAAAAAAATCGACATAATATAATGCAAACATTCAAAAGGAAGGCACCCAATAACAACCTGGAATAAAAATTTTTAAAATAAACACATTTGTCTCCGTTTAAAGGTTATTATGCGATGAAACAACAGATGTATTTGTGTTCGGACTTTAGATTATAAACGCATATATATTTACACTAAAGAATGGTTATATATCGCCTGTCATTGGTGTCAATAAGGGCACTTTTAAGGAGATGAAAACTTATTTAAGGGAACCCTATGTACAAATTTAGGTTATCTGTAGTGGGTTTAAGAAACTGTAAAATTTGCGAGTTATATAATAAATCACTTTCCTATCTCTTGCCCTGAAAAGAAAATAAATCCAATGCGTGAAAATAAAAGAAGGCCAAATATAATCTAATGAACTTTTAAACTAGATAAAAGTAAAAATATTCTAAGGCAGAAAATATTTTAAAAAATTCCCCACCCCCTCTATTTCTGCAGAAGGAGAAATATAGCTATTTCTATTAGAGGAATAAAACTTGCTGTTTTATAATAATCCCCTATTAATAAGGACATTAGGTTTGTCCTGGGATCAAGCCTACATTAATGATTTTTAAAAATGGCGCGTCCTAGCAGACTTATTTTTTTTTTCTAATTCGGAATTCTTTTCAGAATAACAGCCTGGATACTATTCATTTGGTGGCGAGCGATTAGTGTTTGAATCGGCGCTAATAAGTTTACGGAATTCTTCGAGAGTTTTAAAAGAAAAAATTATTCCAAAATGTATTACTATTCTATTAACGATTCGCAAATATTATCTAATAAAATAATATATATACGTTGCGCTAATTTACGTTGATTGTTAATCTTAATATATAAAAAACAATTTTTATATATGTTGCCATGTTTTTTTTAATGTTATATCATATTCATTATTAATTAACTAATTAACTAATTCATGGACCCAAAATGATGGTAATGTTCTGCATTATATTGCATATAATTTTATAAATAAATATTTGGTATCGAGTGAGCATAAGCATATATTTAGTTTTAGTTAATCCTTATTATACTAAATAAAAAGGAGGTTTTTGATATTATATTACACGCTACAGTATAATTTTGGTATATCCTCCGCTTAGAGGAATTATAACCAGTGTAGTATTAGCAGGGGGTCCCACAATAAGGTTTGGATTAAGGAATTGATCCATAGTTAACTGTATAGACCCTTGTTATAGTTTGCGATATTTGTATATATATATATAGTATAAACTCTAATTTAAAATTTTACCATATAACAAAAATTGGATATCAATTAACTCAATTTTGGCTAATATCTTAATTTCTCAGCGAAAATTGAGCCTTTTAACAATATAATATATTGTATAATTATAGTGCGTAAGATATACAATTATAATAAGAATGAAAACTTTTGTAATAAATTTTAAAAAAATAAGCTATTTGGTATTAGGTTTTCTATATGCTTCTTCTCTTAGGGAGATTCAATTTTTGGTAATTATATTTGTGTCTTATAAAAATAGTGGCTTTCAAGAACGTTTTCATTCTCACTCTACAGATTGCACAATCTTACAATTTACATTTGTTTTGAATTTGGTTTTAAGAAATTTTAAATGAGAAGTCATTAACACAAATATAAATAAAAATTATTAAAGAGAAAATAAAATATTATATTAGAGTGGCTTTAGGGTGCATTCATAGTGGGCAATCGGGCACGATGTAACAGCTGATTCATTTTAAAGATTTTTTTATGAAATCAATAATTCTTAGATTATTATCATGAATGGGAATTGAAGATAAAATTAATATTAAAGAAAGATTTATCTCATAAACAGATTTTTAAATTCGTTTAGCTGTTAAATCGTGCCGGGTCAGATCCTACTATAAATGCAGCCTTCATTTAAAAAATTTTTTAATTTATTATATTCTACAAAAAAAATTCTAAAATTAACTATAAAAATTCGAATATTTATTAAAATTTACGATTTTCAAAAAATTTATGAATAACGTTATTCATAGGATTTTATTCTTGTTCGTTTAGAATCGAATATCAAATCGAATTTCGAATAATTTTAAGTCTTATTACTATTCCAGCAAGCATAAAAATGTTAAACACCTCATAATTTATACATTCTTTTAACATGTGAAGCAAAATTATTATCCCATGAGCGGTGGTGGAGCCGGTCTACCCTATCAAAGTTCGCTACCAATCGGTGGTCAAATATGGAATAACAATGAATTATACGGAAGTGGCGGTCAGCTTAGATCAGTTTTTACAACGAATATGGGAACTCCTAAAATGGATGGTCCTATGAAAGGCGGAGTTGGTAAGCAAATGACTCCCTCAAGCATACCTTAATAAACAAAATATAGGCTATAATTTGAATTTCATTAACATTAATGGCAATTAAAAACATTTGTTAAATCTTCAATAGTTATCAATTTATTACTATATTATCAATATACTAAGGGGGTGTGTTTGGAATGCATGGTTACATGGGCATAGACAAAGCGTCTGGAACGGGCGCAGATACAGATATTATAACTGGGTACAATCGAAACGAGATGAAAAATTTAACCGCTGATAAATTTTATGCGTTAAGTCCAGATAGAGTTTGTCAGCTGCTATCGGACGATGGATTGTCCGTTGTTAGCGAGGTGGAAGTCTTTATAGCGGCTTGGGTCTGGCTATCAGCCGATTCTTGGAATAGGAAAAAATTTATCAAAAAGATAATGTCTTGCGTGAGATTCCCGCTATTTAGCGCTAGGGAATTGTATACGGCAGCCAGAGAATTGAGGAATTTTCCCGAGACCTGGGAGTTCATATTCAACGCTAATTGGTAAAATAATCAATTTAGTATTTCGTTTAACTTATAGAGGCACTGCTATCTCATATGATCATTTATTTTATTGAAGGTATCATTCCTGCGTAGAGTTTAATTCTCACGATAATTTGTTTTTCGATATTCCGAAACCGCGCCATTTCCAAGGAACCAGAAAACTCGACCCTTTTTCGATTACAAGGACCCAGATTGGATTTGGTATTTTAGCCTTTGAAATCATAATCCCTTTTAATTTCATTTTTCAAGTAGCTGCTGCACAGATAGCAGACTTTTATAAAATGTTATAAAATGTTATAATCTAAATAAGTTATCCAAAAAAATAATTGATAATTCTGTATACGTTATTTTGTATACCATGTTTTAACCAAGATAAATTATGTAAATATTCCTTCACTAAGTTTTACTTTTTTTATAACTAAATTATATGTCATTATTTTACTAGCACCACAGCTAGAAAATTGGAGGGATTTCGAAATGAAACGCGGGAACATACCATTCAATCCTACAATGCCTCTCCCATTTCCTTCTTCTGGACCTGGAGTAATATTTTAGAATTACACAATAATTTTAACATTTTAATAATAACATATGATTTCATCTAAGATTTGTGATTTATTATTTATAACGTAGTTAAGAATTTACATCAATATTATATTCGTATGAAATCATTAGTGTTTTGTCGGGTCGGGTGAGTGGGAATTAAATTTCCCTACATTTTAAACTGTTTCCATTATTTGGTGATGATTACATATATGGAGGAGAGAAATCGTTACATTTATTTAGTATTTTTGAGTTTCTGAGTCTAATAAAATGATGCTATGATATTTAGATAAATAAGAGCAATATTTTGTTGTAATAATATTGAAATTAGAAAAAATTAACCCCCCCCCCCACCCTCCTGGACATAAGGGATAATAGATTAAGACAATTGCCCTAAAAAAAATTTAATAAAATATATAAACAAATATTGACTCCTTTTAATATTTTACTGAGCACATAAAATATAAAACTGATAAGCTATAATTTTTACAACTTTATCTTCCATTTTGTACTTTATAAAAAGTTTAAATCCCCGGTAACATTAGACGGATGGCTGGAGGCCTTAAAAGACGCCACCATTAGACTCAAATCGGAAATAGATTCGCTTGGTGTTACTACGCGGAGATCGATAGCCAGTAGCGGGGGCAAAAGATCTTCCACATCAAAAGCAAAAGTAATAATAATAATCATTTGAATAAAGATTGTTAAAAATTTTTTATTATTTAATCCATTTCTAACATATCTCTAAATTTAAAAATATTTTATTTTAATTTTCGTCGGAATTTGGAATACAAGCACGACTCACCCATCTGATCTAAGAAATGATAAAATCATATATAAATTTTTTGATGAATTATAAAAGTTGAAGAGTTCATTCATATATTATATATTTGTCATAAACTAATTATCCTTTTTCTTTTATAAAATCACAATTTTCTTCCCATATTGATTTTATATTTTTTTGTTTAACTTGATACATAAAATATGTGTGCTTTTTAAATAAAAAATTATTACATAGGATTTTATTTTTTTTAAAGAAACCTATGGTTGAAATAAAATAACTTTTATAAGACAATATCACAACTATATTATTTTTAAGGCTCTTATTTAAATGGATTTTAAAAAAACCTCAAATTTTTCGTAATTTTATAAAATTATAAAACTCCCCAAAATCTTCCATTAAATTTTTAAAATGTTTTGTAAATTTTGAAATTTATAAATCATACCAAATTATTTTTATACTCCCCATTTAATTTAAATAATTTCCAGTTTGATTAATATAACAGCCCATTTTCTAATTATAATTTGAAAAATATAAATTGATATTGCTTTCTTTTTTTTCGGAAAAATTCCAACTTTGTAAACTTTAAGCTAAAATTTATTAATATTTTATTAATTTTAATAAATTTACAAAATCGATAAACTTTCGGAAATTCGAAAAAAATTATTTAGGCCACTATTTTATTTCTACATTTAAAAATAACTAAAATTACGTAAGTTTATTAATTATATTTTTGTAATTTAAGTCACAGCACAGCCTTATGTAAATAAAAGCAAATCTGGCACCCCATTTTTGGCTACGTCTTTTCTTTGGTTCCATCTTTGGCCACGTTTTTAATTTTGGCTTTTTTTAGCAGTCTACAGTAATAATAAGTCTATATGTTTGAAAAATGAATTACTAAGTGACTATAAAAAAACATCTATATATTAGAATCACGGAGAGGCATACTCATTTTCAGGATAGCTTATCCAATAATAAAAATTATAATTAAATTTAAATAGTTAAATAAAAAAACTTACATTTATTTCCAACCCTAATTATATAATAAGGGTCTATGTTCGAAACCCGACCCAAAATTTTCGGAGCGATTTAGGTAGGAAAACTTGTGCAAAAATATTTTACGGGCATTTGCGTGCCGATTCGGGCTGGACCGCATATAATAATATATCTGTGACAATTGTGAAGACTAACATTTTTTTTTCCATTTCTGAAATGTGGCTAGACAAATTTAATAAATTTATACCTACCTTTATAATTGTGTTTTTTAGTTTTATTTTAAAATTTTTCAAAAAATTATTGGTTTTAGTTGGAAAAAATCATTTTACAGGATAAAAGAATAATGTCACCCATCAAAGAATTATCCGAATCAGGTTATCATTTATCATAAATTAAAAATGTTTTCCAAACATATTTTAATGAATATCATTATTTTACTTAAATCTTTTATATATTAATTACTTTATTAAGAATCAGCAAGAGTCCACCTAAAAAAATCTTCCTCAGGCGTTACCAGTGACAGCGAGGTATTAATTAATTCCTATTTTTTTTTCTTCTTCTACTATTAAAAAATATATATACTATATATGTTAGCGGTCAATGTTATTTTTTCAGTCCAATGTGTTATATCATTTTTTTTGAGCATGTGTGGATTTTGCTGGAAATTCATTCTAGCAATGTGCAGAAAAGTAGGGATGTTGTTAAAAACCCGATTTCGGTCGATTTTTTTTTAAACGACCCCATTGAGAGATTAGCCAAAATAATATTATGAAAGCCTAGATTTTTGCTCATAGATGACAGAAAGATTGATTTTTATAAACGGTCCGATTAATATTTAAGCTAAAATAATATGATGTAAGCATCGATATTTGGCAAATAGAAATTACCAAATCGGGCTTTTCAATAACACAATAGAAATGCCTTATTCAACGATTTTTAGATAATTTCGTCATGAACTTTCAAATTTAATATAATTTATATTATTTTTTTTTGTCCATAATTTCTATAATGACTCAGATGTCAAGAGGCAAAATTGTCTGAAACTTATAAGATCTAATGATGCTAAAATATATTTCCGGCAAAATAAGATTTTTTTAAAAAAACGCGTTCAAAAAATCATTTAAAGTTGAAAAAATAACCCGTTGACGGGAGAAAAAGCACATTCACGCTCATATAAAAATGAAATCGGCTTCTGCTAAAAAAGGTGCCTAAAGATAGTGTTGAACATCTGTATTTTACGTGTTTTTTTTTTATTTTGGCTTCCATCACAACTACCAAATTTTATAAAATATTTTCCGATAGATGTGCACCTTCAAGCGGGGTTTGATACCGTTTGCGATAAAAAAAATTATGAAACCGATCTCTTGAACGCGTTAGCTTAGCAGAATAGGGTAGGATTAAAGAGGTCTGGGTTAGGGTTAATTAATATTTAAAAAAAATGGTTTATTAAAATTTGGCAGTGACAATCGAGGTCCCAAAAATGTGAAATATATAAATTCGTTCAAGACTATCTCACACATGAAATCTTATATAACCCTTCTCCTCTCAGTTGCTGCCTTATATTTATCATTTTTATTTATGAAGATCTGATTTTTCAATACCCCTCCTCCCTATTCTCTTATAAATATTGTTAAAATTAAAACCAATTATCTAAAAAGAAAATTATAACTTATTGACTTTAACTAATGAGATAAAATTTATTTTATATGGAACTCTTCTAACGATAATGTGTGTGTGTATAATAAATTTATGCCGAATTTTTTTAAATTTAATTTTAAATCTTAAATTCAATGATAAATGATTGGTTTTAAATGATTTTATTATTAACTTATACGAATTTAGATTGTATAACATAGAAAAACCAATGTAAAGAGGGGGCCTTGATGAATCCCCTACACTCCCTCTAGAGTTACTGGCTCTATTTTTTAGTCACTTATTAAAAGAAAAATTATATTTTTAAAAAAAAAATATGTTTCCGTCTAGATTTCAACAACTGAACCTAGCTCTTCAGAAGTTTCCGAAACTGAAACTGACAAGTCTAGCGCGATAAATAAAAAAGATAAGAAAGACAAGCCGGATAAAAAAGATAAGAAAGACAAGCCGGATAAAAAGGATAAGAAAGACAAATCGGATAAAAAAGATAAGAAAGACAAACCGGATAAAAAAGAAAGTAAAGATACAAAGAAAAAGGACAAAAAGAAAGATAAAGGTAAAAGCACTGATGCATCTTCAGCCGAAACTCCTAAAAAAGATAAAGGTGGAAAGAAAAGCGGATCCAAAGGTAAAACTCTATATTTAAAAAAAAATGTTTAATTATATAATTTTATTTTTATAAGTAAGAGCTAACATGATATGGAACTATCTGGATCTAGGTCCATTTTGCCCCGACCACCCTCCCCCCCACCCAAATCTTCTAATTATTATAATTTAAAAAAAAAATTGTTCCTAAATTCAAATCTATGCTCTAATTATCTTATATAATTAGTATTAGAGAATTTGCTTAGGTTCAAAATTTTAAGCTCTGCCCAGGATTTTTATTTGTTGTCATTTTTAAGCTACGCCCGAATTTTAACAAATAAATATATTTTTTCCCTTTTTTAGAAATTAGTTTTGATCATTTAAATCCCGTCCTGGATTTTATTCTGGTTAAAGACCCTCGACAAATACTGCAGATAGAAATTCTGAAATTTTTTCATTTTCTTCGCAAAGGATTAGTCTTTGTTTTTGCCAGATCGAACTCCCCAAAAATCTCTTATATCTGATACCAAGCGACAAGTTGTAGAACTTTTCCACCACCTTTGTCTGTTTTTTAGTCCTTTACCCGTCTCTTTCCATTCCAACTTTGACAATTAACCTAATCCGCGTCTGTCATACGGTGGAGGTGATCTGCCCACTTCAGTTGATATGTGCTTATAAGGTCAGCGATCGATACAATACCCATATTTCCTCAAAACTCAGCCATCTTTTATTTTCAGTTCATTCTATCTTAGTTATATGATAGCAACATTTATGGGTCGAGTCTTCGCACCAAATGTTATGGCCGGGGCGAACACCTGAATTGAAAATAACCCTTTGGTTCAAAGCGACACATATTTTATTTTATGACGTGAGTTAATTATCGAATATTTTCTAATCACACCTAATTTCATCATGAGATTAAGATGGCTTTGCCTTAGCAAAAAAACTAATCCACAAACTGGATTATATTAGTGTCGCAGGAAATATTATTTACTGAAACAGAGTTATTATATAATCATTGCACACCTGCGGCAGATTTTAAATAATTTTAGTTGTATATAACTGCTATAAAATGAAATTGAGATATGAGGAGTAAATTAGGTTAAACTATTCATTATCTAATTTTTTTCTAAAAAATTTCCACCACGTTAATTGTTGTAAATCATTTTGGCCGGCCCGGATATGCATATTTTTTAAGCGCGGATTTTTTTTAAAAATTTTGCTTACGGATCGGATCTTTAAAATCTCCAAAAAGGAAGATAAGAACGACGATACCGATTAATCCACCGAGACTCACAAGAAGGAAATAAATAAGAAATTCGATTCTATCGTAAGATGTCAAAAAATCAAAGTAGTTAAAACTTAAAAATATTTTGCCAAATTTGCCCTGCTCCCGAAATTTTTCTTTTTCTATTCAAAAACTTTTTAGAAATTGGCATATGTTCTAGTATTCAAAAAAAAAAAATTAAACTTGAAGTCTTATCTTACATGTAATTTATAGTAACTAAAGATTATTATTTTGTGCTGAAAAAAAGAAGAAAACTAATTTTTGAATATTTCGGAATAATTAAAATGGATGCTTCTTGAGAATGCCTTTTAGACCTCTCCCCATTCATGGAACGAAGACATTGATTTAGACCTTAGATAATTTGTTAATTTGTGTATGTGTGTTATAAAAAAAACATAATATTTAGATAAGTCAAGCGATAAAAATAAAAAGAAGGATAAAACGTCTAAAAGTGGGCACAAGGACAAAAAAGGCGGATCGGGTAAAGGCAGCAAAAGCAAAGGCAAGAAGAAGAAATGAGAACGAAAAAAAAATTGCTTTTTAAACTAAACGCAAACTTTGATAGCTTTTTATACTGGTAAAAATTGAAAGCTAAATGATTCCCTTAAAAAAAAACTAAACTTGTTTTCGCATCTTAAATGCTTAAAATGGCTACAACGATATTTTGAAATTTTATATTTGATTAAATTAATAAGTAATGTTTCATGATTTTATATTAAATATATATTATTTTTATTTAGAATTATTTCAAAAGTATTTTTTAAGAGAAAAATCGTTTAGAAAATAATGTATATTTTTTTTTTCATTTAGGTTTTCCATATTTTTTATGTTTATAATTTGTATTTTGTATAATATTAATGTATATAATAATTATAATTTGGTAGAATAATTTAAAATAAAATATTTATTATTAACCTCGGAATAGGGCAGAATTAGAGGTCTCACAAATGACAAAATTTTTAGGCGTCACCAGGTAAGAATTTAGTTTTTGCCTGACCCTATTTGTACCTAGACCGGTCAGTTACCAATTTTTTAACTAAGGTTGTGCCCAGCCCGGCCTGGTTTTTTTTAAAATATGGGGCTTAACCCGAAAAATATGTAGTTGAACAACATTAAAATTTAAATTTTAAAAAAACTACACTTAATGGATTATCGCTTCTATCAAATATCAGAATTTATCAATAATCCAGTCCAATAATTATTTTTGCCTCGCCCGTCCCATTAATTATTTTGACAAACACGACTAAAATAAAATATTTTTTAAACGTTTCTTGGGCCGTTCCTAGCAGACCTCTAGTCAGAATCACTCACCCTTATATTTTATATTAATTATAGACTAAAGCATAGGAGAAATTGAAACTTTCAACCCGATTTAGGTTATCAGATCCTGCTTAGTGGAAAAGAGGACTTATTTGTTTTATGTGTTTTAAATAATGCATTAAAAAATGAATTTAAAAATATTTTAATAGATTTTAAGCAGTAATTTATTTTCATTGTTTTTATTCGTAAGTAACATTAATACAAATCGAACTAAATTCATATAACTTAACAAACCATATTTTTTTTATCCAAAATTTTTTACATGCAGATACTTCTCATAATTTATTTGGCCTTTTCTTCAAAAATTTATAGAAAGGCAAAACCATTTAAAATTGTATTGCATACACATAATTGCTTTATAGATTTTACGGATAAGCTATTCCTCTCATATGTCCATTGACTATTGATTAAAGAAAAGATTCCTTCAACGTCATCATTATGAGCTGGTAGAGTATAAAATGAAGTTTCTATAATTAGCAGTTCAATATGTTGTTTTAGGATTGGAATATCAGAGAAATATTTACCATTTTGGGTGAAGGGGAAGTTTCATATATTAAACATACTCTTTTTATTAGTAATAACGATGTAATGTTGCAAAATTGGTCCAACAATAATGATTCATGCACCCCCAAATCCAATGAACAATAATTTTTATTAGCTGGACACACTTAAACTCAAGAAGATGCTCGGTATGTCCTACAAATTTACATAAAATTATTTTTAAACATGATAATTGTTATTTCTAATATTTATATAATGATATGAACTAATAAAAAAAAATTTGGAAAAGATTATTGTAATCAATTTTTTTAAAATATCGAAAATACTTTTCAAGGTAAAAAAAAAAATTGGCGTCATGCCGATACTGGCGCTGTATAAATCCTTGTGCCATTGTTCATAATAGAAGGCTTTTCCTAAATAATCGTTCCTATTTCATAATTATCTTTAAGTTGTTTCCGATTGTTAGTGTTAAATAAAAGTGAATATAATGTTTAGTTCAAAAGTTCTCGGCAAAATTATGGAAAATTCAGTGTTGGTAATACTCTATACGTATAGGAATACATTTCCGTTCAAATCAAATATTTTCAAATTTAAAAAGTGCTCATAGTAATATTTAAAATTGAGAGATTCCAAATTAATATGGATTCCACATGCCAATACTACGACATATTGATTGTACCTTAGTTCATATTTTCCATAAATTATATTTAACCTTTTAAAAAAGCATTAACCCTATAGCCAAAAATCGATAGTTATTTATGCTTTTAATTAACAATTACTACAATCATAAATAATTTAATTATATAAATAAATCAAATTCATTATTGAAGAATTTATAAGAAAACATTATATATATTAATTTTAACAAAAAGGAAACACATAAAGCTTTATTTTAAATATAATTATTTTGATGGCCTGTATTGTGAAGACACTCCAGCTGATTCAATGCTAATACTAGTAGAGCTTCCGACGTCTGAGTTTGTTTCGAAAATCCAGTTCGTCCTTGATGAAATTTTTCTTATCTTCTGAAGATTTCCGATAAATTTTTTGGTCCTTTTCCCGGTTATCAAAATTGGTTGTTTTTTAGATTGTTTTTTTGTTGTTCTTTTATTTTTTCTGACATCTGCTTTTTTGGATTTTGTCGCCGCTTTTTTGGGTTTCCTTGTCACCTTTTTGGATTTTCCCGCACTTCTAGATCTTTTGGACACTGTGCGTTTTTTGACACGTTTTTTAGCCCCTTTCCTCCTCGTATATATTTTTCTTTTTTGGGGTTTCGAGATTTTATGTTTCTTCTTTTTTGCTTTACTTTTTCTACTTGGCCTTCTTTTCGGACTTTTAGCGACCTTTACAAGGCCCAATTTTTTCTTAGAAACGGGTAAACCTTTTTTCAAGACTCGTGGTCTATTATTAGTCCTTTTGGTTTTCAGCGTGCAGGAACTCATTTGGAATTCACTCTTCTTTTTATATTCTTGAGATTTTAGCTCTCGTAATTTTCTTTTACGCCTGCTTTGAGTTACTATATCATTCTTTTTCTCGTTTTTTCTCGTTTTATTGAGTACGATATTATTATTCTTGAGCATCGACGAGCCAAATGGGTTAACTATATTTCTAGGAGGCAAATCAACCGCATTTAGGGTGGAAGAACCCTCTTCTCGATTAGTATTCGATTTAACATCTGATCTATTACCAATGTCATCCATAATGTGAACATTTTTATCCATTATGCCTTGTGAATCAGAAATCTTTTTAATCTTTATTTTATCAGTTTCCATGATTAAGTTTATATTATTGGAAAGGTTTATATTCAAATCCTTTTCCCTAACATCATATTTTATTTTGGAGTTGTCAGCGGTAAGAGTCAATATCAAAGGATGCTCATTTTCGTTTTTTTCCATGATTGGTTCAATTTTATAGCCAGTGTTTAAAATCTTAACAGAACGAATAAGATCTACAGAGTCTTTTGAAAAATGCGTCTTTACATAGTTAACTCCGGATAAATCTTCCTCTGAGTTTTCACACTGTTTGGGAATATATTTATCATCGATATCTTGAACATATTGGTCCAAATTTTTGATGATGGGGTGATGTGGTTTGTTTTCCGAAGTCTCATTAAACGCGATATGCTTTGGCATTTGGGCAAAAGTATCATTACTTATTTTTGCAGCTGACTGAGTACCGCTGGTTGAAGGGTGACAAATTTGTTGATTATTAGTACTCAAATTTATGGTTAAATTTGGCATCATATACGGGGAATTTGTATTGTTATCATTTTTTTGAATTTTATTATCATTACATTCAATTTTACTATCCTTATCTTTGAAAGTTTTGGTAACCGTCGATTCTTTTGGCACCTTAGATTCGTGGAACTCATATGCAGGTACAAACGAAAGTTGGTGGTTAGAACCTTCCCTCACAAATTGATCATTTGACGGCGGTGTGTTAATGATAGTGGGAATTTCACATTCTCTTGCTTCAAAAACTGAATCCTTAAATTGTCGCACTTTAATTTTTTCTACTACGTCTTCCAAATTTTTAGGTTTAGCGATCGGCCCGAACGACGACCTTTGGTCCTTCATATAATCTTCGTAAGTTTCAAATATTTTTTGGTTGTTGATAGATTCCTTATCCTTAAGGTGTAAAGTTTTTAAAGTTTTTTGTACGATATCGTAAGCTTCTTTCGATATTTCATTATCTTTATCCTGGACACTGGGAAACATAATCTTGTGGTGGAAGCGCTCTCCTTGATCTTTCTTAAAATTCGCCTGCGAATCCTCTACATTGCAAATCTTGGCATGACTTTGATGACTGTTAAAAGTTTCATAACTATCTTTATGCTGGAGGATAGGGTAACTTAAATCGTTACCCTCGTTATAATTTTCATCCACATATGTTTGCTCGGTCGTTTTCTCTTCTTTCATAGTGTATTTCGATGAAGTGATAGGATAATTTATATTTTTCCCAATGTGTTTTAACTCTTTCATGGCTGGACTGTGAAAATACTTGTTAAGCTTGGTAACCATATCCATATTACTCTTTATAACCTCTGACATATGGGAAACTTGAGCTTTTGATAAATCACTGTTTTCGATTAAAATTTTTAAATGCTTCAACTCATTTTCCACATGTATGTTGCCTTCCTTAAATTCTGATCGAAAATCTTGCGACTGATTTAAAATGCTATCTATTGTAGTTATTATGCGAGACGCTTGAAGTCCATTCGCACCTTTAAAATCGTCCCATCTATTTTGTAAATCCCCTATATTATTATTCATATTTTTTAAGGAATCCACGATTGTAGCATTCATTTTTATCAATGTCACCCCCTCCAGAGAATTTTTCCTCATCGTAGAATTTTTGTTTTCGCTGTTCTCATTCTTAGCAGTACTGTTCGTCTTAATCTCTGCAACGTCATCCTTGAGACATTTTATCCTATCAGCTATTATTTTTAACGTTAAGACCAAATCTTGAGCGTAGCTGGCATGGTTAGTAAAATGATCCTGATGTGTTTGTGAATCGCTTAAATTAATATACGATTCTTCCATCTGAAAAAAATAAAGATTAATTTTAATGTTCAACAAAAGGAACATATTACTAAAATAATTTTTTTTTATTAATATATTTCGATATCTAATATAGACGCCCATTTTACATATTAAAATATCATTTCAAACTTGTAATGCGGCACGAAAGTGGAGGAT